GGAATATTAGAATCTCACTAGTCCTGGGAATTTCATGGTGGCAACCTCCCTCTGTAATGAACAGTCCATGCTCCCCTTATTCCCAAGCTCACAGAAACCTTCTTTATTCCCCTACTTGGTAGGTGATTGCTGCTGAGGGGGAAAAGGCTGCTTCTGAGTCCCTGCGGATGGCAGCTGAGATCCTGTCCAGTGCCCCTGCTGCTGCTCAGCTCCGTTACCTCCACGCCCTGCACTCCCTTACTGCAGAGAAACCTCCTGCTTTCATCTTGCCCTTGCCTTTGGATGCCATGAACCTGGTCTCTCCAGCTACCCAGAGTCCTCCAGCAGTAAGCAACCTCCTCACAGATACCTCAAAGCTCCCAGACAGCCCCAAAGACAAGAAGGACTCACCCATGCTCTAAGAGCTGTCCCAGAAATGGTTGCTGCACTGCCCTTGGTCAGTCCTGCTCAGAGAGGAGCCCACCAGAAGGCAGCCCACCAGCAGGTCCTGGGCTGGAAGCAGGAGGAAAGGGAGCCCAGGCCTGTAATATAAAGTGGATTGTACATGGAAGAAGCCTCTGCTTGTTTTGGAAAGGGAAAAATAAAGAGCACAAGGATCAGGGGGTTGAGGACAGAGGGGTGTCATCCCTTCTCTCCCTCCCACAGGATCAGATACACCTCGACACCCTAAAGGTCTGATCCATCCTGCCCTATCACCTTGGCAGGAAGGACAGACTAGTCCCTACATATTTAAATGCCCCTGTGTCCCCACACTGAATATCCAGGCAGGCAGGGGTGGGAGCCCAGCAGTCGGTGGGGGAACAGGATGGGGCTCAACACCCAGGCAGGTTGGTGGGTGCTGCCAGTCGGGTGGTTCTGCAACGAGGGAATGAGGTGGGTCCCATGGCACAGTCCTGGATATGGGATTTCAGTCACCACACACGCATACACACACAGGCAACCAAGGTGTTTAGCCCTAGTTCTAAAATTGGAGGGAAAAGAAGAGGAGGAAAGGGCAGCCTGTATGGCTTGGCACGCCAGCTGTGCAGAGGAAAGGCAGGCTGTGCTGCTGCTCGCTTCCACTGGGGGGTGAGGCAGGACAAGATCTCAGCCTGTGGGCATCTAAAAGTTAGAGAGGTGACCTGTTTAACCAGCTCCCACTGAGTGGACAAGGGGGAATCCAGCACCACTGGGGAACAGCCAGCTGAGAGCCTCCACAACAGTAATACTCTTGCCTGCTGCAGCTGCCTCGGTAGTTTCTATGCACAAGGAGGGAATAGAGAAAAGTCCTAAAAACTCCTATAATTCTCAAAACTCCTATATATCCTTTCCTATTTGAAAGGATCAGGATACAGATACCACAGCCCTTTCCCTTAGCAAAGAGATGGGGCACTGTCCAAGGAAATACCACTGTGCTCGGTTTCTCTGATCCTGGTGCCCTGTGGGTGGATGGCAGCTCTGCTCCTGCCCTTTCACTTGACTTGCAGCATCTCCTCTTGCTTCAAAGCACATCTCTCTTGCACAGCCAGTCCCAGGACAAACATCCTGCTGCTGGTGGTCTGTAGAGGCCAAGATAGAGGGCACTTTGTGGCCCTTCTCTTAACTGCCCAGCACAGTAGCTGGCTATCACCCAGCCAGTTGCTCAGTCTTGTATTTTCACTCATTTTATTCAGCCCCTCTTTGCCTGCTGGTACCACTCGTGCACATTGTCAGGTATCACCAGTAATACTGCTGTTAAATGCAGCTGTGTCACAGCTGAAGGCCTGTATGTACTGGCTTAACACTGCTGCAAAGGACAAGGATCCCACTTCTACTAAGTACCACATATTCTGTATTTAATCAGCCCCTGCAGCTCCTTGGAGTCCCCTTCTCAACACTCAGTGCTCCCACAATACTCGCTCCACAAGTATTTGCTGGTGTTTTTACAGCAAAACCAGCCTCCTTACAAATGGCTGAGAAGTGGGAAAAGTCCACCTGTGAACTTCTCCATGAGCACCTGAGCTCCAGGTGTAACCTCATATCTAAATCATTTTGCCACTGCAGCCATCTCAGGAGAAGGTGTCAGGATGGCTGTGGCTCCTGCTTGTGTGTCTGTAATAGATCTCAGTAGTGATCCACTCATGGAAAACTAGCTCTGGGAAGTGGAACAGCTCTGTAATCTTCCACTGGCAAACATGAGCTGTGTAGTTATTTCTCTAAGGCTGGTTCTGGTGATTTCTCAGGCCCCTGTTTCCCAACCTAGGGCAAAAATCATAGAATGGTTAGGATTGGAAGGGACCTTAAAGATCATCCAGTTCCAACCCCCCTGCCAGCAGCAGGGACACCTTCCACTAGACCAGGTTGCTCAAAGCCTCATCCAACCTGGCCTTCAACACTTCCAGGGAGGGGGCATCTACAACTTCCTTGGGCAACCTGTTCCAGTGTCTGACCACCCTCACAGTGAAGATCTTCTTCCTAATATCTAATCTAAGCCTCCCCTCTTTCAGCTTAAACCCATTTCCCCTTGTTTTGTCATTAACTGCCCTTTTGAAAAGTCCTTCCCCAGCTTTCTTGTAGCCCCTTCAGGTACTGGGAGGCCGCTATAAGATCTCCCCAGAGCCTTCTCTTCTCCAGGCTGAACAGCCCCAACTCTTTCAGCCTGTCCTCATAGGAGAGCTGCTCCAGCCCTCGGATCATCAAAAAGGTGTAAGGAGCTCACACAGGATGAGCTGCAGACGATCCCTGTTCTGAACACTTTGCTGGCTGCATTTCTAACTTTGTGTAAAATGATCCATCCAGACCAAGGTTCCTTGCTGCATCAAGGACAAACGTCTCTGCAGATAATCTCTCGAAGGAACAACACTTAGCCTGAGAAATGACTGTCAAGAGACATGCAGTACTACATCAGGGCACACGTGTTACCCTGTTTGCACTCGTATCTGCAGAAGTCAGGCATTGTTTTTGCAAACACATAACTTTTCTGCAGTTAAGGCAAATGGTAGTTAAAGAACATCCCCACTTCCAAAGAACTTGCCTTGCTCCAGCAGGATCTTCTCTCTTACATATACAGAGCTGGCAGAAACCTGTCATTTTACCTTCAGGAGATATTGTATTAAAAAAACCTTACAGAAGGAAAATATCATTTAACATGTCCTTCAGGATTAGTGATACGTGACGTTTCCAAAGTAGTATTTACTCTGGGGGAATTGGCAAGGGCTGTCTGAGCTGACAGTTCTGCTGCCTGCTCTTCTGAGCTGAGAGTGGATCCAACTGCAGAGTCACATCAAACCCAAGCAGCTCTGCTGGCCTTGCAGAGCTTTGTAACCACACAGACTGCCCCAGGCTGGGGACCCGGCAGAGGCAGAAGCCCCAGGTGGTGGCAAATGGACTGTTGAGGCTGTAGGGGTTACTGTGGATGGGGGCCAAAATCAGAAATCACAGGGAAATGCAGCGTGCATTTTCAATGCCATCCCAGTGCACTGAGCAGGTGAACTGGCATCACCTGAAATCTAATTTTGTGACCTTGGTTACAAGGCAGCTCTTCTGTGGCAGCAATTTGAGAAAGGCCTTCAGGATCATGCACAGATTCAGGCTGCTTTGTACTTTCTGAAGAAGGACGAAACCTTCAAAAGAATAAGATTCAAAGACGAGCAAAAATTTGCCTGTACAATTCTGTACGATTTCTGTACAATTTCCTCTAAACCAGTCAGCTGGTAACTGGATCATCTGAAGCCCAGAGGATGAAGGAGATACCAATTATCAGATACACAACCAGACTTGAGAAAAAAAACCCCTTGATATGAGAGGAAAGAGGTACAAGCAACTTACTTGCATGATCCAACAGGGATGAGGCTGAATGAGACAGAGCAACAGGAACAAGAGACTGATGAACGCAAATAGGAGGCAAGCACAGGGCAAAGGGAGGAGAGGAGGACAAGCAGGCAGGGGAGAAAGTGGGTAGGAGAAAGTCAAGGTAGGAATGACACCACAAGGAAGACAAGCTGTAAAGATACTCGAGCTGTGGGAGGAGGCAGAGGACAAGCAAGACAGATGTGGAGGTGGTAGAGCCAGCTAGAAGAACAGCATAAATGCTGAGAGGGCATAGAGGTGATCAGGTAGTAGGTAAGGGGTGATGGCAGTGCATCGAGGGTGAAATGCTGCTATGAACAGGCACTAAAAAACTACTCAGGTATTGCTGTTCTTTAATGTTTGCTTTTTCTGGATCCCTTGGACTGGCCAGAAGTAGAAGCTTTGGGACTTGAGCAGTCCCTCACTTCTGAGACGCTTTCTTGGAAACATTTTTCTGAAAGAAAAACAAAACAACAAACAAAAGCCATTAGAAATACCACAGAATTAAAATGTGCCCAAGGCATCACATCCTTAACAAACAAATTAGGCTCTCCTCCTGTTTTGATGTCAGAGACCTCCTGCTTTGATGTCAGAGACAGGATATGCTGAATGACTAAGGAAAGAAGTTTTATTTGCTATTCTTTCTCCTTCTCCACAACTTTTATCTGTGTGGATCCAGTTGAGAAAGGACATAAGGAAATGCTTTCACTCACAACAAACATGCAAGCTAAGGAACTCACTGCCACACCATATGGGCAAGATCAGGTCAGCAGTGTTCAAATAACTCCTGGAGACAGCAAGAGTGTCCTGTGCTATATACACAAAAGGTCTGTGGCCTCTGAGAGTGAAGGAACCTGGAACATTATTCCTTTTCTACCCCAAAATCAGTGATCCTAAACAGATCTTCTTGACTGTAAACTGTTAACACTCACAAGAAAGATGAAGTCAATTACTGTGATCTCCAAGTTATAGACCCTGTGTCATATGTCAAAAATCAGACAAAATTACTTTCTCTCAAAACCAGACCACGTTCAGCAGTTCTTTCTGTCCAGATCTAGAATCATGCTAAAAGCCTCCTTGCTTGGCCTCTGACAAACAGTCTAGAGAAAGCCCTAGATGTGCCCAGGAAGAGAGGGTCCTGCACTAAATGGGAGATAAATGAGGTGTCCTCAAAGATTGCTTCTCTTTCTGGGAACCCTCCCTGAGTTTGGGACAGGGTTCAGAATATTGATTCTCCTGACCTTGCCCTTCTTTGTCTGTCACTTCTGGGATGACTTTCCCCTCCTTCTCCAGCTCACACTCTAGCTCTTTGATTCTCTGCAGAGCTTCTTGCAGCTTCTCCTCAAGACCTTCAGCTCTCTCCTCTGCATTCTGAGCACGGATCTCTGTTTCTCTGAAACACAGAGGCAAAGATAATGCTGAAATCTGAAATCTAAGCAGCTGCTGGCAAGATACCTAAAAGAAAGATTTAGAGAGCTGAAGGGTTTAGTAGGATTGACTGACTCTATAAAACACATTTATGGTTTCAGAGAAGGGCATTGTTAAAAGATCTATAAAGGACTTCATAGCACATCTATGTAAACCCTGCAAATTC